GAAAAGGGGTTGTGGTCATCCTTCTTTGACGACGTTGATGGGAGATCAGATGATCGATACCGTCTTCACCCGCATGGAACGCTCTTCTCGGTCTTTTTCTTCTTTTTTATTTTGTTTTCCGATGCATGCAGACTGGAAGTTGGCCCAAATACAGATAATGATAATCTGGCGTTTTGTTCGGGTGAAGACGGTAGTCAGCGGGTGACTGATTTCGAATGTGATGAAACCTTGTGGAAAATAAAAGAGAAGGCAAGGAAATAATCTGTTTTGTGCTCGAAAACTCGCAATAGAAAATAGACTATAAAACCCTAAATAGAAAACGTTAGCAGATTTTTTCACTCTGTAAATCGATTTTACTGGGTTTGTTTTTTCCCAACGAAATTCTGAATTCTCTACAGAGGCTGGATTAAAATATTTCATTTTAGGTGCCTTTTCCTCTGGGATTTTCTTATTCGGTTGTTCTACGATTTATGGATTTACTTGGGCCATGCGCACTTGCTAAAAAAAAAAAAAAAGCACTCCTGCCGAAGTTTTTTTTTTTTGGGGGGGGGGAAGTTACGGAGTGAGTCAGTTTGTCGATTTCCTTCAACAGAAAAAAGGGAAAAAAAACAAACAAACGCGAAGGTTAGGAAGAGAATTGGTGTCAGATGCATTCTAGAAAGTCCTACCGTCTTCACCCGAATAGAATGCCCCGTCGTTATTGCTGTATCTGGACTGAAATTGCTGTATCTAGACTGAAATTGCTGTATCTAGACTGGAAGTAGCGCCAAATATGGCTATAAGGACGGGGGGTTCTATTTGGGTGAAGGCGGTAGTACGAGTGAGTATGCAATCCCCGGTGGTGAGCGGGGCATTTACCTCAATTTGTTTTTCTTTTTTTTTTTCCCCCTGAAAAACGATGGAACGGCTACCTCATCCAGTAGTCCTGGGCGCAACGGTAGTTTCTCAGTCAGAAAAATCCATTCTGTAAGCGGCTGCAATACAATTAGAGAGTTAATAAATTAATTGATTAGTAATTAGTAAATTAATAAATAAATTTACTAATTTAATAATTGATTAGTGAATTATTAAATGAATGAATTAAATTAATTCAATAGCTAGGCTACCATCCGGGCCGCCCGGGTCCCGGGTGGCCGGCCCGTGCAAGGACCAAGGAAGGTCCCAGCAAAAAAAAAAAACTATGCTATGCAGAAAAATAAACTGGACAACTTTTGCCTCAGGGTCACATCGAAATTCTACACCAAATTTAGAACAAAAATAAAATTTAAAATAATTCTTTTTTTTTTTTTTTTTTTTTTTTTTTGGCCCCGCCGGGGGAGTGCCCCCGGGCCCCTCTGGAAGCCAAGGAGGTAAGTTAAAAAAAAAAGAATAAAAAAATAGACTCCACCTAGCCTAGAACC